AAGATTATTTTAGGGGCACCCATGCCTTGGAAAGCCAAAGACCAAGATTCTAAAATATTGGGCCCAAAGCCACAAGTCCCTGTACTGAATGCCAGAAGCATGGGGGAAGACCTTATGGCCTTCTGAATTCTGACTTTCCAATCTGTTGAAGGGCTTTGAATAGGCTTCAAAGGGTGTTTTGGGGCCAAGGTGAGGACCCGGGTAGTCACATGGCCCAGTTGCCCAATGGGTGAGGCGTTGCCCACAGCCCCCCAGCTATTGCAATTGCAGCCAAGCTGGCTGGCTGGCTCGCCACTTCATCCAATTTGGATTGGCTGCCAAGAAGGGGATGTTGTACTTGGAAAGGTGGTCTGCCCACCACTGGCCATTCCTCTAGAGTCGCAATGACCAAGAGTGCACAACAAACAGCAACATAGCACCTGGCTGGCTCTGCCAAACTGGCCCTGAACTGCCAACAGCAAAAGGACTGCAGCAGTTTGTGTCCACCTAACCAAACAGCCAGGGAGCTCTTTCTTCTGGCAGTTGAGAATGGCCACCGGCACATTGTCAAAGTCGAAGTCTGGGAACATCTTGTCCGGGTCAAACTTATCCATGGGCCCCACATACACGCATTGTCCGCAATCTGTGAAGCCAGCGTCCTCAAGCTCCTGGTCAGGAGCAGACAAGGAGCATGGTTGGTGGTTGCGTGCGCCTGCCAGCCCAATGCAAGCTACAGTCATGTTTAAGCTGGGGGCAAGTACTGTGTTCTGAGGCAAGCTCCTGTGGGATCTGCTGTGCCTCCTGTGGGATCTGCGTGCCTCCATCATCCCAGGACTCATCCTTCTCCTGCCAAAGTAAGCCAAGCTGATTCCTTGTCCCCATTACTGCATTCAGCAAGAAGTGTGCACCAGGGCTAGTGGTGGCCTATCCCAAACTTCATGAAACAGAGCGGGCTTACCTTTATTTCTTTCAACTTGGCAGTTGGTTCGTTCCTACAAAGACAGTCGCTGAGTCATCCTCAGCTGCTGCCTGGGCCTCCTCCGGCGCTGCCTGGGCACATGCTCATCCAGGCATGGAAGGAAGGCAGGCACAAGGACAAGGAAGTGGCCTCCTCACCAACTGCAGAATCATCATTTGAATCAACTTCATACACCTGGCCACGCAAACAATGAATACCAGACTTTGGCAGCCCAGAGCCCCTGCCTTGTGCCTCTTGGCCACAGGCATACTCTTGGCAGCAGGTGCGGAAGGCCTCTTCTTGGAAGCAGGCTTGGTGGCCCTGGTGGCTGACAGTTTGCCACCAATGGGTGGAGGGCCAGTGGCTGGCTGACGCAGGCCAGAGGTGGCTTGCTGATGCAGGCCTGAAGGCTTGCTGGCCTGAGGCAAGCCTGAAGGCCTGCTGGCCTGATGCAGGCCTGGGGGCCTGCTGGCCTGAGGCCTGCTGGCCTGATGCAGCGAAGGCTTGCCGGCCCTCCAGGCCTGGCTCTCCACAGCCACCTGACTCTCCACATGCTACAACACTGAATGACAAGTGACAAGCCACATGTGCCAATGCCAGGCCGTTGACTGAACAAGGGATAGCACATGCCCCACCATCAGTGGCTAAAAAGTAAGTGTGTCATTAAAATTCTGCCACACACACACACATACATGCACACACGCCTCGCCTCCTCAAACTGCTCCTCCGCAGGCGGCTCCTCATACTCCTCCCCATGCTCCTCTTCCAGATATTCCTCTGCCTGCATTTGAAAGGCACCAAAAAGCAAGCACCTGAGACATGCCAAAGCCTCTTGCTGCTCCTGCAATGCTAAGGCTCCAGTCCAGGAATTCCAGGCCTTTTGATGCTCCTTCCAAGAAGCACCCAAGAAACACCATCAAAGCTGTCAGCCAGTCTCAGTGTTTAACAGACAATGAATGATTGCTTACTTCTTCTCCCCAACACAAGATGACAAGGAACCAATGATGATGATGATGATGATGATGATGATGATGATGATGATGATGATGATGATGATGATGATGATATGATGATGATGATGATGATGATGATGATGATGATGATGATGATGATGATGATGATGATGATGATGATGATGATGATGATGATGATGATGATGATGATGATGTTATGATGATGATGATGATGATGATGATGATGATGACGGTGGTGGGGGTGATGATGATGATGATCTACTGAATCCCGTTCCTTTGCCTGTTGAGGCCGGGCAGGAGGTTGATGACCCATCAATGCCTTCTCCTTAGCCAAGCAGGACAAGGCTTCAGAATTGTGCCCTCAGCAAAGAAGTTCCTAGATAGGCAAATGCCAGCAGCTGAGAAAAGCACCAGCCGGTTCCTGGCTGCTCGCACTTGATCCTCAGTTAGCCCCCACACACACGCGCATTCTCTCTTTGGCACACGCACATTTATGACTGTCATGTTCTTGCCAATTTAGTCTGGCGTCTCTGGCAAGCTGGCAGGGTGGCTTCCTTCTTGTGCCAACCTCATTCTGGTTCTGAATGATGTAGAGGTTGTTCACATACATGGCTGAAAAGCTGCCACAGCCAACAGCCCTTGAGCCTACACCTGCTGCATCACAGAGATCAAGCAACTTGCTTGCAGCAGCCCTGAACCACAACTGCAACCACATCTTGCTGGCAAATCCAAGAAAATCAAGAGGCATCAGGCTGTAAGAGAAGTGCAAGATTGCATGGGGGAGCTAACGATACAGAGCTTGCCAAAGGATGACGGCATTCACAATGGCACATGAGTTTTGATGAAAAGATAGCCCCTTACTGTTACCAGCAATTGTTCCTTGTCAAGACATATAGAACCCCCTGCAATAACATACACCCAAAATCAAGGCGCTTGGAATGCAAGGCGCTGTCGGCTGGCTTGTCTGGGCCCAAGGCAGGTTGGATGTCCTGGCACACCTCCAAGGGCAGCAGGCCTCAGCCAGAAAGCGGCCAGGGTGAGAGGCAGTGAGTCAGGGTTCCCTGCACCAAGCCCGTTTGGGTAGCAACTTACAGTTACATCAACTCAGGATTAGCTCACAAAGCATGTTCAGTGCACTGAGGATGGTCTGAGGCACCAACAGGCAAGCAACCTGAGCATGGCTGATGGAACCCCTCATGAAGAGGCTAGGGTGGGTTGCAGCCATGCCTTGGAAAGCCAAGGCATGGAGGGGCAAGGGTAAAGGATAGCTTGGTAGGTCAGGGGAGCTCAAGCTTCTGATTGCAGAAGCACTAGGCCAAACAGCATTTTGTTGTTGACATCAACGCTCCATTGGAATATGTTTTTGCAGCCATTTCACAATGACAGATTGTTTATGGACCAGCCCATGGGTACTGTCAGAATTTGAGCCTTGGCTGGGTGGCAGAAAAGCAGGTCAGACATCTCACCTGTGGGCTTGAACGTTTTCTTGTTGGAAACAGCTGCCATCAACCACACACACACAGAGTGTTCCCTGATTATCCACTGGGTTGTCCCTGCATCTTTGGTGCTGATTGAATTTCTTGGGCGGGACACTCCAAGACATGAGGAGCAATGAGTGCCCTGAGGGCTTAGCAAAGTTCCAGAGAAACAGTTGGCAGTTTCAAAATGCCTTGTGCAATACTGGAGGCTACCCAAATTCAGCAGTGGCCAGAACAGTACATTGCATTCACTTAGTGCTGTTTGGAATGGCATGTTAGCCCAGCCCTCTGCCCAGCCAGCCTTTGCACTGCCTAGAAAGCTGTGTGCAGACCTCAGTCAGACCTCAGTCAGTGTCTGAACCTTAGTATGCAGCAGGCTCCGCTCTGCTGGGACCTTAGTGAACTAAGCCTTAGTATTGCAGGGTTTGAGCCTTAGTGTCCTGCTGCCCCTTTTTGCGGCTGCTTTTATGGTTGACGGCAAGTGTGCAAATGCAGCGTGGCTGCAAGTGAAAGCATAGAGCTGACTGAAGCTTCATTTCAATTTGACTTTTGGTGCTATGGTCAAATGGAAACTTAGGACCAGAAATTTCTGAACGCCACTACCCAGACACCTTGCAGCCTACACTTTGCCCACCTGCTCCCTGACAACTATACATGTCCCATGCTTGCAAAGTGTTCTTGTACATCCCTTCCTGTAAATCCAGGGCTCAAACAACCATGTGATGCATTTAAGATTACAATTCACCATGAAGCTTTGGGATTCAGTTATTGCTGCAAGTAATCTTGTGCTTCAATGCTGCAAAGAGAACCAATCACTATTTAGCTTCATGATGTTGAACAGCAAGTTTGAAAAAGGTGGCCCCAATGCGAATGACATCTCAGGTGATGAACTAGCAGGTCCTGTGTTTTCCAAATGGTTGTGCCCTCTGTGCTGGCAAGTACTTTTCAGTTGTTACAGTTCTAAAGCAAAGCAGGGGTATGGACCACTAGGCCATTCAATATTGCAGTCTTGGTGCAGGCTAAAGTGCCCCATGACCATCCTCCCTGTCTGGCCAGGCCTGCTTGGTCATCTTTACCACGTGCCCAAAAAAAAGGTGCGCTTTTCAGCGCTACCCGCTTTTCAGCGGTGCCTATGTTTTTACCCTCCCTCCCTCCCTGTGAACTGCTGCTCCAAGTATTCCATGAAGTAGTCCGAGCCACAGTGCAGGGGGTGGGCACAGGGAAGGGTTGGGATGTGGGCACAGGGAAGGGTTGGGATGTGGGCAGGCAAATGTAACTGTGGGGGGGGGGACATCCTTGGGGAGTGGGAAGTGAGACAGTTGGAGGGCATGTGGCACATGAAGAAAGGACACCTTGGAAGTGGGAGGGTGGGTGGAAGTGGGAGGGTGGGAGGGTGGAAGTGGCATGTTGATGAGGAATGATTGGCATGCCCTGCCCCCCCCCAACCTCAAATCATGGGCAAACACTGGTATCTTAGAATGTTGGTGCCTGTATCTTAGTTCCATTTCTTCTGGTTTCTAAGTTAAGTCGAACTGGGCGGTTCGCCAAAAACCGCCCAAACCGGTTGAATTCAACCGCTGAAGGTTGAGGAGAGCTGACCAAGGCCAGCGCCTCCCAATTGCTGGTGCTGCTCCTCTTTGAGGGACCAGCAAACCGCCACGTTCTTCAGTGCCCGGAGACCCTCGTAGAGCGCCTCAAAATCTGAGTGAAACTCCTGGTAAGAACCGGCGATAACTTCCTTTGGGCGGATTAAACACTTAGGTTCTTTTGGAGGTAAACTGGGATCCGGAATTCCATGTCCCCTTTGAACAACTAGTCTTGACAAGCCCTCAGTTGAAACATGGGGAAAAGTGTACACCTCAGTTTCTCCCTTTGCCCTCCCAAGTCACATCTAGTCCACCCCCAAGCTCTATGTTTGATCGGGCCCAAGCTCCATCCCCCTACAACAGCCTCTCCATGTTACTAGGGTTGGAACCATAGGTGCCTTTTTTGGTAAAAGATGGGTTCCGCTGGCAAATCAGTTGCCACCGAAACAGGCCATTTGTGGAAAGGACACCAGCCGTTTTCAGAGTTCCCTGGTAGCAAGAAAAAGGTGGGACATTTCAACCCAAACTGGCGAAGCCTCATGTTCCCTCAGATGTGCTGTCGGCCATGGTCATAGTTTCCCGAATAGGGATTCTTTATTGATGGTGTCTAAAATCCCCACTCATAGCTCCATGACTACCCGCCCAAGCACAAGCGTATGGTTTGACCATGGCACACATGGATTCTTGCATGCCAGCAAAACGTGGCTCGGGCCTCGCCAACGGTTTTGGTCCCAAAAAACCTCCCAACAAGAGGGCTCAGTTTTAAAGCATTTTGCGTTTTGTCTCGCAAATAGTATTGCCCATTCCCTGCCTTCTCCTTTTTAACATCTTTGCATTCGCAAGGACAGTCTGCTGCTTCACATCTCGCTGACGCAAGACATAGGGCTGCACATATGCTTTGCAGCTTGACTGGGTAGAGTCTACGTGCCAGTATGGCAGACGACCTTCTCGATCCGCGAAAAAACATCTTTAACTGCTTCGTTATTGCAGTGCTACAACGAAGCAGCCGAGCGGGTGTTCAGGCGTGCGTGCAGTGTTGTAACGAAGCAGTCGAGCGGGTTTGCTTTCCATGGTCAGGCGTGCTCGCCGCCCTATAACGAAGCAGTCGAGCTGGTGCTTACCACAGTCAGGCGCGCGCGCGCAGTGTTACAACGAAGCAGTCGAGCGGGCGTGCTTACCACAGTCAGGCGTGTGCGCAGTGCTATAACGAAGCAGTCGAGCAGGTGTGCTCACCATGGTCAGCCGTGCTCGCAGGGCTGTTGTGGCCAACCAAGCTCATCACCGCAATTCACCAGGCTGAAGCAAAGAATCCTACAAGCTGGGTTGCTCAAATACTCGGATCCCTAATTCTAATCCGTAAATCCGTAGACCACTACAAGACGGGGCGCCACTACCATCTGGCAAAAGAATTGAAGATTGATTTTGAGCTACAATTCTCCCAACTGCATTGAGAATCCTACCAGTAAAGGACCTTGATCTGCAATGTGTTCAGCTAAATCCAAAACCCAAAAGAAGACCCCCCCCCCCAACAAAGGACCTTCTGCACTGACATTGGACCTCGTCACCCCAAAAAAAACATGCGATCGACCGCCCTCGGTCGGCACCTTCAGCTGAAAGGGCTCCAGCACCTGCATGCTGCCTGCGTGCGGGGACGCCAACAAATAATCCCACTCCTGCGGGGAAGACGAAATAGACCGAAACTGGAGGTGTCTTTGGGTGTGGTGTGTTCGTGGGCGGTGTGTTTTCGGGGTGGAAAGGGGGGGGGAGGAGCAGTTTCGTGAAAGCTGACGCGTAAAAGCGCTGTCTCACTTCCTAAGTGGATTGGGCAGAAAAGTCATCAGACTGTTTGTTTGCCACCAACATGGTCCCCGAAATGTTTAACTTCCACTCGGTTTTCGCCATGGGCGAACAATGTTAATTCTCCATGCTTCAGAAACCCTGCATGGGTTTCCCACAAACAATGCCCCCTAACCGAGCAACACCCCCACCCACCTCAATCCGAACAGGGGTGTTTCCCAACATGGGGAAGTCACATGGGAAACCCACCGGTCCCGGGCGCCCGCAACACAGATGGACCCACGGCATCTGCGAACATGAAGCGCTGTATGGTTCAACCAGCACTACTTTCGTTGTTGTTCCCCCCCTTTCCCCTTTTTGGAAAATACAAGGACATAAAAACCTAAACCTCCCTGTTTCAAGCTGAAGGGATGCCATGACCCCATTTTTTCGCGCAAGTGCTCCATGATTGCAGCTCAAAAATGGGGAACCCGTAGCAGATGGTTCAACGGACTCACGCTGGCCTCATGCTTGCGACTAGCTTGGGCCCCTTTCAGTCTTGGGCCTCATCTTCTTGATTTCATCCGTTATGTTGGCCTCAACTTGGTCCTCCAGATTTGAGAGGTTAGAATAAAGGTACCCAATTTTGTCTGTAGTCCATTTTAATACGGGAACCCTGCCCAGAAAAAAAGAAACGGCCAAAGGGCACCTAGCTGGGGAACCTAGTCAAAGCGACTTGGGTCTCCTCCCGGGGTCGTAAACACGCCCAGTCACTGTGAAAGATGTTTAAAACCAAATGTCCATTTGGCTCTGGGTCAAAACCCAGGAAAGCCCTGGTGAACATAGGCGGTACATGAATTTTATCATCCGCAAAATGGGATCGGCATGGGTTATGACCCATGGCCATTTTGTCTCTTTTCCGCAAGATAGGTTGAAACCGTGAAGCCGCTGTAGCCAAGCCGTTCTTTCGGCCCTGACGGCCCCCCTCTCGCCCCCTCTCTCTCGGCCAAAACGCCCATGGTCACGTAGACCAAGCGCAGCTGTCGCTGGCGCATCTCCGTGAGCCAGGCGTTGAGCCGTGAGTCGGAGGTCTCCTGAGGCTTGGTGGACTCCACCGCTGAGTGCGGATGAAATTTGAAATCCTCTTAGGCACCTAAGAAACCCTGGTGTCTGATATGATTCCCCTGTTAATGCAAACAAACATTGGTTGCAACCATGGTTTCAACCGTGGTGCAGGATGTTGTCCATCCACAGCAGGATGTAGAATGTCAACATCAATGATTAATGACAGATGTACTGCTCCAGGGTCAGCGCTCATGAGCTGCTACCCTCCCAACAACTGGCTGGGTTTAAAACCGAGCAACTGTGACCGAACAGGAAATGAAATGGATGAACATTTGCCCACTTACCAACGAGCAAACGAGGTGTTCACTCACCCGCCAGTCAATCATGGAATGAACACTTTCCTTTTGCGGAACCTGTCCACTTCCATGATTGGAAAGCGGGTAAGCCATGATGACGTGGACACCCGAACTCCAAAACAAACAACCTATAGGTCCAAAGCCAAAAATCGACCAATAAAAAGCTCGGGTTTCTTTACTAGGTCATCCAGTAGAGAGGTTAGAATAAGGGTACCCGGTACCCTTTTTTCTGTAGTCTATTTTAGTAGGGGAACCCTCCCCAAAAAAAGGGTAAAAGGGCACTACTGGGGGACCTAGTTTCGGAACAAGTGCGAAAACGACGAAAAAGACAAGGCAGCACGATTCGATTCCCACTTGCTGGTCTCCGTGCGTCGCGTAGTGGAGGGGCGTGCAGCCGTGGACCCGGTGACGACCACGTGGGGCGGCAGATCGTGGGCCAAGTCTAGCCCGAAGAAGCTGTTCACGAGGCACACGCGGGCTCAGTGGGGCGATTGGAGGCACCAAACGTGCTCACGCGGTAATCTCCAACTGATTTTTTATGCACATATACTGCAAAGGTAGTTCATGGGGGGGGTGAGCAAATGTGTATATATATATATTTACCTGAGAGATCCTGAGAGAACCAAACTCCAGCCAGTTCAACTTGTGTTGGCTAAGGAGGGCGGATGGAAAAAGCATCCTTGTGGCCTAGTCTATTTTAGTCTGTAGTCTATTTTAGTAGGGGAACCCTCCCAACCAAAAAAGGGAGAGAAGGGCACTACTGGGGGCCTAGTCTAGCACCTGTAGCGCGCACTTCGGTGCGAGACTTGCTCCCCCCAACGAAATAGATCGAGGTGGTTCCCGCTTTGAGGCTGTGGCAGTACAGTTGTTTATTCCAACGCTCAACGGACTCAGCACACAAACAACCGTGGGTAAATTCTGATTCGTCAGTGCAACATGAAAACTCCTTGCCGCTGCCAGTTCTACCCTACCCCCATCCGACCAGTTTGCAAACAAGGAGGGGATTTGTCACACTTCAATAAAGTCACCCAACTAGTATGGTGTTTTTTCCATCACAGAAAGGCAGTGACAAAGAATGGGCCAAAAAAAGGGAAGAGTAATCACAACCCAATTAGTATGGAATTCCTTCCATCACAGAAAGGCAGTGACAAAGAATGGGCCAAAAAGGGAAGAGTAATCGCAACCCAATTAGTATGGAATTCCTTCCATCACAGAAAGGCAGTGACAAAGAATGGGCCAAAAAGGGAGAGTAATCACAACCCAATTAGTATGGAATTCCTTCCATCACAGAAAGGCAGTGACAAAGAATGGGCCAAAAAGGGAAGAGTAATCACAACCCAATTAGTATGGAATTCCTTCCATCACAGAAAGGCAGTGACAAAGAATGGGCCAAAAAGGGGAGAGTAATCACAACCCAATTAGTATGGAATTCCTTCCATCACAGAAAGGCAGTGACAAAGAATGGGCCAAAAAGGGGAGAGTAATCACAACCCAATTAGTATGGAATTCCTTCCATCACAGAAAGGCAGTGACAAAGAATGGGCCAAAAAGGGGAGAGTAATCACAACCCAATTAGTATGGAATTCCTTCCATCACAGAAAGGCAGTGACAAAGAATGGGCCAAAAAGGGGAGAGTAATCACAACCCAATTAGTATGGAATTCCTTCCATCACAGAAAGGCAGTGACAAAGAATGGGCCAAAAAGGGGAGAGTAATCACAACCCAATTAGTATGGAATTCCTTCCATCACAGAAAGGCAGTGACAAAGAATGGGCCAAAAAAAGGGAAGAGCAAAAAGAACTCGCTTGGGACTGAGGCAACTGCAGCCCCAGACCTGCGATTCGGGAACCAAACCTCGGTTGCTTTCTGCTCTTGATGGTTCCATTAGTTCGCAAAAAGTCAAAGTCTTAACATCCAAGCAAAATGCACCAAAGAAACCATCTGGCCCCTTGTTCCCGTTTCGGCGCAGGCGCCGAATCTTCTTCCACCGGGTCAGAACGTGCGCTTTCGGCTGTTCGGCTGTGGGCTCCTGGTCTGGACAACGCGTCTTTTGGATATGTTATCCCCGAAATGATGGCTTTCTCGTTGGTTTCCCGTTTTAAACCAACCCAAAAATTGGTCTTCGGTTTGGTTTCCCCACGTTTCCTTTCAACCAACCTTAAAAGACATGGTCACCCAGCCTCCCTAAGTGGGACCCTCCAGGCTCATTTGCTTTCGCTCGAACTCTTTGTTAGCGAGCGGCTCTTGAGCATCGGCACGAGCTGCGTGAACATGCGGTAGGTGAGCCGGGTCTCCTGGGGAAAAAGCTGGACCACCCAAGGCCCCAGTTTGGGATGTTCTAAGCCATCAGGTGCCCTGGAAAATGAGGGCGAGGGATTGACTGATGGCTTGACTTTGAGATTCGCAGTTCGGCCAATTGTATTGAGAGAAAAAATGTTTTATGATTATTCTAAACAAAAGGTATGTCCACAGGGAAAGAATAAAGCCGGTTCACGAGTATTTTTCCGTGCTGTTGCAGGAAGGGTCTTTGAGGGTTTAGGGAACTCTTCTTTGTTCAGCTCCCCTCCATACTTGGGGAGTCGGGCTCTTTCCTAAAGATTCAGTACAGCAATTCGAAGTCCTTCGGCGATTTGGATGGGTGGTTTGCAGGAAATGGGGGGGGGCCACCATCTTTGAAGGGACTTTGGGATGGGAATCTTAAAGATGACAATACCTCCCGGCCCAATAGTGTCCCATAGATACTAATGTTGACCCCCGATTCATAAACCCCCAGTTTACTAGTCTGGCCTTGTCCCTGGTTCTTGTGGGAATTGATCTTTTTTGGGGACCACCCCCATAAATACACAGGGGTCGATTAATCTGGTGTCACCCTTACGTTGGGCTGTTCAAAATGGAAGGTTGGCCATCAGGACACCACTACAAAGGGAGTAACAGCCCTTCGCAACTCAATGGAAGGACATTTAGCGGGGTCGGAAACTCCGAGCATGGCCAGAGTCCCAATACGCGAGAAAAAAACTGCGGCCAAGTCAGCAGGCTGCAAGCGGCTTCTCATCATCTCAGTTGGAGGAGAAGGGTGCAGCTCACCCCTTGTTTAGACATGCCCGAGCAACCTCCTTCAGTTTTCCCTTTGAGTGGAGTTTTTGGCTTGTTTCAACCAGCTTTGTCCAAACAGCCGCTGTCAGTTGTCCATTCCCTTCCAAGGTTTCCCTGTTAAAGGATATATAATATATATGATTTTTACTTCGGGATCCTCTGGACATCATTTAGGCGACCGATGTATGAACCCAACCCACTTTTCAGGGCGACCAACTAGGTCCTCCAGTAGAGAGGTTAGAATAAGGCTACTCAATTTGTTCTGCCTATTTTTTTAGGGGAACCGTCCCAACCAAAAAAGAAACGGTGAGAGGTCGGGCACCAATCGCTGGCGGACCACTCGCCAACCGCTACTCGCCATCAACCTCGCTGGCCGCGTCCCGGGCCGCAAGTGAGCCGAACTTGGCTTCCACTCGGCTTCCTGCGAAGCCCTGCAAAAAGTGACCAACTTTTAGTGGCTCAACATGGAACACCCACAGGATCAAAAAGTGAAGTTGGCAAAACGCGCCTCTGGACATTTGGTCCCGAAAAATGCTTCAAGTCTGGTGAGCGCAGGACGTGAGTTGGGGAAGCGGGAGCACCCAGCTAGGACTCCCCCGTCACTCGCGCCAAATCACCGGAAAATTCTGCAGAAAAGTTCCTTGAAACTAGGCTGGAATTAGGACCCCAGCAAAAAAAACATGTTTGCCTAGTTAGTGGAAAACAAAGGGCCCAAAAAAGCAAAACAAAAAAAGGGGAGCTGATTCTGGGGAAGGAAAGTCGCCGAAGAGAAAAAATGAGCCGTTGGTCTCCAAAGCGCAGAGTCGGTCGGCCTCACCTTTTTTGAAGCGCGCCTGGACGTTGCGGCTGGCAAGGAAGATCTTGAGGCAGAAGGGCAGCGCAAAGAGCATGTCCAGATGCTTGAAGAGCTCCAAAGGTCCTCAAGACATCACCGAAAACCGAAACGCCTCCGAAAAGTGGGGGAAGTTAAGACCAAAATCGAACACTGCACACTGGATCATGGAATTATTGATTTTGTTTGGGGTGATGCTGACTGTTGCCCCCCCCTCCGGAAAGAAAGAGGACGTTACTGACGGTGCTTGGAGTTATTTTTCATTCTTAAAGCAATATCTTTTGTCGACAATCTGTTTACTTTGCGCATGATCACAACGTGTCGACATTTATTGGGTAGGGCGGCAATCGGTTCACACATAGTACCGGGGTCCTCTTCACGAAGTTGGACATTCTTGTTGCAGCCTACACAAAAACATGGAGGGCACATCGGCTTATGGGGTGCCCCTAAGTTCGCCGACCCCTCCAGCTTTCAGCTGATTCGGAGGCCGAGATGGATGTGGGTGTGTTCGACTCCTCCCATGTCCAAGGCGTTCGTCGCCTCTTCTCGACACTGGGAATACTCACGAGATGTTATCAACCTAGGGCGACTCCCCAAGACATAAGCCTTGCTCTTGGTGAACTGGATGGCAACTTTGGCCGTGGTTCATTGTACTGGATGTGTCAACACAGCCATTACTGGATTGGACCTGTCAAGATACAACTTTGCCCCTGATCAGTGATAGAGTCGGCAGGGACAAATTCCCTGTAAAGCCGGGAGAAAAACAAGTCACCCTCGTTTGGTTGGTTGAGTTTAACCCTTTTCAGGAGCTTGTCAAACAAAAAGGCGGAATCCACTGGCGGCAACTCCCCCGAAACAAAGCAAAAAAGGGTGCCACTGGGAAACTGGGTAAGCAGCTGAAAGTTGTCTCACTCGCTATTCCCTTAAACACCTGACTGAGCATAAATCCGGATGGCTCGAGCCCCTCAACTCCTGGTTTTTCGGGTTGGCGATCGCGGCTTGGCTATCTAGGGTGTCGCTGGTTTTTGGGGTAAAGTGCATGGAGAAAAAAAAAACAGCGATCGCAACTGGCGATCCAGGACGGTCTTCCAAAAAAAAACGGCGGGGGGGGGGGGTTGGTGAATGGATCGTTAACAAGCCCATGGAGAAAATCCTTCATTGGACGTATCCCCGATCAATCCACCAGCTGAAATTCATCCGGGCGTCGACAATACCAACTAGGTCCTCCAGTAGAGAGGCTGGAATATATTTTTTTTCTGTAGTCTATTTTAGTACCAAAAAAAAACAACTCCCAAAAAAAGGGCAAAAGGGCACTACTGGTGGACCTAGCCCAGACCAATCCAAGCAGGCCAAGGTGGGCTGACCAACTAAAGGCGCCACTTGGCTCCAAAAAAGAAAAAGGTTCCAACCCAACCAACGTTCCAAGCGGGTGACCGGCCCCAACACCTGGCAGCAGGTGGCTAGGCACAGAGTAGACTCTCTTGAGATCCAGTTCTGAAAATGGCGCAAGACAAAATGATCCTCTTGAGCTTTGAGGGGGATGCCAACAAGGGCAAGGAACAAGGAACTCCCAAATGCAATTGCCCCCCCCTCCATACTGTGGATGGACGAAATCCTCTTGGGCACCACTTAAGAAACCCTGGTTTCTGATGATTCGCCTGTAAATACCAACCAACAATGGTTTGCCATGTGTTCCAAGTGATGCAGGATTTCGTCCATCCACAGTAACTGCGCTCAGCTCTCCTCTAATTCGTGGTTGGATTGGTGGATTGGAGGTGAGGGGATTGTTTCCATTGTACCCTGTACAAGACCCAATTCCAAACCCAAACCAATCCCGGGCTGTCCTCAGATCTGCTAAAAGTGTTTAGCTTTTCGTGGGTTAAATACGGAAACCCAACCACTAAACCTTGAAAGTGTAAAAAGCTAGGGAACCGGACGGCTGGGAGCCACTAATTCAGGGAAACCTGGGTATGGGTCAACATTAAACCACCAGTCGGCTATGTTACCACTTACCGGGGCAAGCCATTTTGGGGTTACCCTATTCTTGACCACCACATGGCACCTGAATTCAGCTACCGGGATCAAGGAGCACTGGCCACACGCAGCTTCCTGTCGGCTCGATCGACCACGGACCAGTTCGATTTTCCGCTCCTGGCACATTCAGGAGCATCGGGATGCCCAGCTCCTCGAGTGCATCCCAACAAAAAATCAGGTCTCCTATTTCTAGGTCCTCCCCTTAAACACTGATGGGTGTGGCTGAAAAATTCAAGAGCTCGGGCAAACCGCAGGTTTTGATGCTAAAGAGAGGTTAGGGCTTAGGGTACCAACTTGCTTCTGTCTATTTTCGTAGGAAAAGGGGTGAGAAAGGGCACTACCCCGAGAATGAAGCCACCGGAATGATCCATGAAGCGGTATGCATGGGAATCACCTCCACTGATTTTTTGGCAACCATTTAGGGCCATGGCCAGATTTTGGCTGAACTTCCACGCTTAGGGAGAACCAAATCTAGGTCCCCACTCCGTTCTATGGCCAGCGAAACTGAGTCTGTGCTTCATGCCTCTAGCGCTCGGGAGCTGCTTCGTGCGGCTCTTGGAAGCGCGCTAGCGTACTGTTCGTCTAAGAGCCTTTGAGCGAGAGAAACAGAGATAGAGAGGGAGAGACAGAGAGGAAAAAGCAAAAACACCACCACATCCAAAACCACAACCCGACCCTCTGCCGTGTCCAGCCTCACATCCAGCGAACCCACCCTCTGCCGTTTTTGTTGGTTGCCCCTTTTCCGCGCGCCTCCACCGCCTGGGAGGCCGCTTGGGTGGCGAAGTCCGCCAGCACCACGTCCGGGCGCTCGGCCTTGAGCCAGGCGAGCAGCTCCGGGAGCATGGCGGCGCTCACGTGGCTCATGGCCGTGGACATCAAACCTACGCCCCGCATGGCACGAGCGCATGTCGACTGCATGGCGCGCATGGCGCGCGCAGTTTCCATGGATGGCGCGCGGTTGGTTTCCCTGGATGTTGGCGGGTTTGTGGGAGGTCGCAAATGGAGCGCATGGAGGGGTGGGAGCCATTGGGGCCTTTGATTGTTTGGAGAAGAAAGAAATAAGCTCAGGTGATATCCCCAACAGCATGCGGTGCTCTTTTTCTTAGTGCTCGCACCACCCCGCAGCCCTCGCAGAACCTCGTGGGACCCTCGTGGGACCCTGGTGGAACCCTGGTGGAACCCTCGTGGAACCTTACCTCAGGGCCGCCCCGGACCACCCCGGAGCCTATCTGGGCTGAGACCCCAAAGCTTGCAGCTGTTGGGGAAAAAGAAGATCTGGGGCCTTTGTTTGGAGAAAAAAGGGTTAACATGGGACATAGGAAGATAAAGATGAAAAAGGGAAAGAAAATCAAGGGACGTCTGAAAGTTGTCTCGTGGCGGATAAGGAACCTTTGCGCAGCTCGGTTTCCACACAAGTGCGCTCGATGCAATTGGTGCAAATGAAAAAGGGAAGCTCTCGGCAATTTAGTGGAGGAGGACTGGGTGGGTGGGGGGGGGGGGGGGGTAGCAACAATTACTGCTTGCCGCACTTCCAAACTACCAAACTCGCAAAAGCCCAGCACAGCACGCAACCCTTAAAACCCACCCAACCCATTCCCCCCCCCCCTAGTTTGATAGTGGCAATCCACCCACAGCCTGTTCATCCACCCCCTTTTTCTAGGTTTGAGGTCAAACCAAACGGGGTGGCTTTTAAACTTCAAAAAACAAATCAAAACATGCAGTTGATGTGGAAAGGAGCAGCAATCACGGCTGGATGTTGTTTGTTGGTTCTGTTTTCATGTTCGGTACGCTTCACAAGGTTGGCAATCCAGCCACCCAACCCGTTCATTGCATCCATCACCTAAAATCCACTTTTTTTTCGGGTTTGACGGTCAAACCCAACGGGGGGGCTCCGCCCACCCACCAAAAAGACTTAATTAACAGTTCCGAGCAATTTCTTGCCGACTTTAATATCAAATGGTTTACCGAATTGATAAACATGCTCGAAGGAGAGAAGGTATCTAGAAAATCTGGCAAAGAACCCCTTAAAATCGCATTTGAAGACGATAAATCCCCAACCCTTCCGCCATTTTCGCCACTTCGCCTCGGGACATCAGCTCCGCCACCGGCCCGTGGCCCGCATCCGAGCCCGGCAAGTCCGGCGCGAGGCCTACGAAGCGGCAGCCTGCCGCCTGCAGAAGGGGCGAAGGGGCCGGTTGACACCGGATGAATAAACCCCTTGTTTCTTAATATGGGGCTGGGGGCCCCTCCAAAAGTGATAGATCCCCCACTAAAGCTAGGGACACCACCATATTCATGAACAGGGGTTTATTAATCCAGGATGAACATTGAAAAGAGAACCCACAAAAAGACGAGCCACCTGGATCGCCAGTGGCTGCCTTTTTCCACACACAAATCGCAACAGTGACTGCAAAAAACAGCAACTTGGCTATCTAGGCAACCTTGTTTTTGTGGATCCCGGCATGCAATTCACGCACGTGGATTAGACGAGCCAACCCTTAAGCCAAAAGGCCTAGGATCCGCTCGGCAACTGGTCGGGGAAGATGACAAGTGGACCTTTCTGTTTGCATTACTTGCGATCGGTGCGATAGGTAGGGAATGTGGGAACGAAACCAGGCTTTGGTCCCCTCAAAAGAAACCACCAGTTGGATGGTGTGTAAGGGTCATTCCATGAGCACCAGCAAGCCAACATGTGGGATTGACGCAAAATCCCTTTAACGCACCACAAAAGGAAGCCATGGTTGAAACCATAGCGTTGCTTGGTACAATCATCACTGCAATGTCCGAAACGGTTGGTTTCCATTGGGCTCCTTGAAAACCAACCGAATATAAATCTGAGTCGTCATTCCAGGGGCACCTTCACCTATGCTTTGCGGGGATCCTTACCAAAAAATCATCAAGCTCCGGAGGCGCCTCACAGCTCTTGGCGAACTTGGGCGCCGCGCTGTCCTCATGGGCGAGATGGCCAAATGCTTCTCCGAGAAAGCTACAGGAAACTTTGCGGGAAACCCCGTGTTTTGGCGGGTATTTGGCCAGCTTGTAGAATTCCCTGTGCTCTTCTATGATCGCATCGGTGGCCCGATCCCTGGCTACAGGGCTTCGCGTCAGGGGCCAAGAAAACCGCAACCAGCCGCTGCAACCTCCCCCCCCTCCAGCGTCAGCAGCGCTGTCTCGTGGCCCCGCTGCGCCAAGGCCTTCGCCACCTGCCAAAACCGTGGGCAGAGGCCGATCGATCGATCCAAGCGGATCTCGGTATCCAAAGAGCCAGCCGAAGGACCCGAAACCACGCTGCAGGGAAACCCCGCGAAATCGATCAAGTCATCTTGACATGTCCTTCCGGCTGCAATCCATCCGAAGGTCACCAGGATCTGAGGGGCATGGGCAAAAAGCATCTTATGTCAAAAAAATATCCGCGACCAGGGGCAGAGGTTCCACCAAAGACCGATCTTACATTGCTTTGCATATCTGTTTTTTTTGTTTCGTGCGTCTTGCGCGCAGATTCCGGACTGCTGTCACAGACATGACAAAACGGACATTCAAGTCGGCATCTTCCAAAGCGCTTCTTTGATGGTGTGCTGGTCAAACAGATGCGTCGTCTTTGCGATCTGCCTAAGCAGGTACTTTGAACATAGGTGTGGGCCTTGAGGGGGTCCGTTCAAAAACGTTGGCCAATCAACCCTCGTTTGCTGGCAGGGCCCCAATTTTGGAGCCACTATTCGGCGAGCTGGTTTGCGTGGCCCTGTCGAGCTTGCGGGCCGCGAGCCTTCAAAAACTTGTCTTTGCGATTCTGAAGTTGCCTAATCGACCCTCTACGGGCTTTGGCGTGGTCCTCTCGCTGTAGAGCGGTGCTCATTTTCTCGAAGTTGGAAACCCTAAACCGTTGCCGAGCCAATGGGACTTGCTCTCAAATACTTCTCAGCCCGCCCTCCCGCGCAACTCTGCCTTCTCAGCTCTGCTTCTTCCTATTAAAACTCCTATTTGAAAACTTTACTGCCGGACCTTTGTTCCTCCAGATCCCTTGCTTGGGTGACCCTCAACACTTGTTTCTACATCACTTTGTCCACCATGATTCCACAGGGAGGGCCGGGGACAGAAGTTAACAATAGGTTGGGTTCCCTGAAATATACCCAATGCTTGCAACACAAGTCACGGGAGGGGCGGGGACAGAAGTCAATACCCCGTTGGGTTCCCCGAAAATTCACCCGATGCTTGCAATAGAAGTCACTCACCACTATTCCACCAGAAGGCCGGGGACAGAAGTCAACAACAGGTTGGGCTCCCGGAAGTGTAGCCGATGCTTGCAACAGATGTGACAATCGGAGCTCTAAAGCCATGGCAGTTGTCGCAAAAAGTTGTCTTGCGTGAGACAGCTTCGCATTTCTTCAAAACTGCGCTCTTGCTGTGGCGCCGATCTTCGGATTCTGTAAAGCGCAGCGTTTCACCGAAAGTGAACCCTTTACGGAGATCATGCGTGGCGAAGCGCTCTCGCTATGGCGCCGTGCGAATGTGTCTTGAGCTCGGCGAACCCCCTAAGATTGTGCGTGTCGAAGCGCTCTCGCTGCGGCGCCGTGCGAATGTGGCTTGAGCTTGGCGAACCCTCTGCGGAGAGTGTGTGTGTCGTGGCACAGCGCCGATCTTCGGATTTGTGTATTGCTGCAGAATTCTATGGCCAGCGCAGCATTCTGTGAGACTGCCGTGCGTTTTTTGCGGCGGGCGCAGTATGTTTTGCGCTGATGCTGTAGGATGCGTGGCAAGCGCAGCATTTTCATAAACAGGGTCTGTGAATTTCGTGGCAAGCGCAGCGTTTCACTCATTTGCAAGCGTTGCGAGACGAAAGTGAACCCTTTGCGGAGATCATGCGTGGCGAAGCGCTCTCGCTGTGGCGCCGTGCGAATTTGTTGCGTGGCAGGCGCGGCATTTTCATAAACAGGGTCTGTGAATTTCGCGGCAAGCGACGCGTTTCACACATTTGCAAGCGTTGCGAGACGAAAGTGAATCCTTTGCGGAGATCGTGCGTGGTGAAGCGCTCTCGCTGTGGCGCCGTGCGAATTTGTCTTGAGGTCGGCGAACCCTCTGCGGAGAATTGTGCGTGAGGCGCTCTGGCTGTGGCGCCGTGCGATTTTGTCTTGCTGGCGGCGAACCCTTGGCGTAGATCCCGCGTGTTGCAACGCTCTTGCTGTGGCGCCGTTCGAATTCGTCTTGCTCTCGGCGAACCCTCTGCGGAGATCCTGCGTGTCGAAGAGCTCTCGCTGTGGCGCCGTTTGGTTTTTCTGTTTTAATTGCTTGCGAGTCGGTGTTTGGAAGTTGTCTCGGGCTCCACCTGCCTGGTCCGCGGCAGCTGCGGCTTGAAAATCGCAACTTCTAATTGCGCAAGTAGCACGTGAAAAGCAAGCCCGGCTGCAATATCGCAACTTCTAAGCACAAAAGTAGTACGCGCAGTGCTCTTCCGCAGCTCCAACACGAAATTCGCAAAGTTTAAGGACAAAAAGTAGCGCGCGAAGCGCCCTCCCGCAGCTACGGCTGACAAATCGCAAGCTTTAAGTACAAAAGTAGCGTGCAGAGCTTTCATAGAGCTCCGGCTGCAAGATCCTCGCAAATTAAGTACTTAAGTACGTGAAGAGCTTTCAGAGAGCTCCGGCCGCAAAATCGCAACTTTTAAGTGCAAAAGTGGTGCGCGAAGTGCGTTCCCATGGCTCCGGCCAAAGCCGTGCGCGAAGTGCATTCCCGCAGCAGCTCCAGCTCTGGCTGCGAAGTCGTAAGTGTCCACGCGCAGAGGTAGTGTGCGAAGCGCGCTCTCGCAGCTCCAGCTCAAACATCGCGCCTGCAGTTTTTAAGCGCGAAAGTAATGTTCGGAAAGTGCGCTCTCGCATCTCCAGCTCGAAAATCAAAACTTGCAAGAGCAAAAGTAGTATGCCAAGGTACACTTCTGCAACTAAAACCGCCTGCCTGCTTGCGCGGCCAAAACTGCACGCAGATATGGACAAGAGAGGTTGACAAGAGAAAGGGACATGAAAGGTTGGGCGAAAGAGGTTGCACAGCATCATGCGCGAGAGGGACTGTCACGCGTAGCATCATGCGCAACATCACACGTAGCTTCGCGTGTGAAAGCGTCAAAACACAGCGTAGCGCGCAAGAGAAGTTGACAGGAGAGATTTTGTCAAAGCACGGCGCCAAGCTTGCTCATCCGAACTTGCAGAAGCAGTGGGAGAGGTGTCAGAGTCTATTTAACGTCTCTCCATGCTTCCGGGCCACCCGTCGTCAAATTAAACTCAATACTATTTGGGGTCTCTTGCAACGGGATATGCTAACACCCCGCCTGCACGGTGGGCACCAAATGCCCCGCTTCCGGGATCGAGACGCAAGCCACCTTGAGCCGCCGCACCTCGCCGCTCGGCTCGGCGTTCTGCGTCCCTCCAAGTTGTCCCAAGAATGAAACGTTGTTCTCAGGATTTGTGGTGGCAATATCCTATCTGAAAGTTATCCTAAAAAATGTGACGCCACCCCCATGATTTGGCAATATCCTCTTTGTTGCTGTACTTCGAGGGCCTGGGTGACTTACAGTTATTTTCCAGTCTACAACCTAATTCCCATTCTAGCAACCATGCCCAAGAGAATCCGTGGTTTACGCCCCACTGGCCTTGCATAGGAGGAGTTCTGGGCTGTCTGACCAATCGCGCAACTCAGAATAAACGAGGCCCGAAGTTTCGAAACAGGTCTAAGGCCAGCCAAACTTACCTGCACAAAGTAAGAAACCGAGCAAAGGCAGCATCAAACGGACAAGTTGCGAGGGAAATAGCCGCAAAGAACAGGCAGCCTCCCAAACACTGCACACAAAGCGAGAGTTGACGACCAAGCTGGTATCGGATAAGGCGGCAGCTTTGGCTTTCATTGACCAGGATATATGTGTGTATACGTGTGCCTGTCCGAATGGTCCATGCTCGCTAGCAGGTGCCCAAGTAAAGCCAAAAGAGTACCAAAAGCAATAAAACTACCCTGAGGGTGCCTTTTGGATTTGGAGTCATTCAAAGCTGGAGCGCCTCCTTCGGCTGACTTCCCAAGAAAGCCGGTGTCGCTTTGATGCGCCTCATTTCCAAGCTTTTGACAGGCAACAAGTCCCCAACCCACGCTTTTGGGCCTCGCGGGTGACTTGGATGGGCTGGGCCTTGACACTCTCCAGCTGGAAGGGCTGCTTCTTCTGCAAGAGGTTGGGCAGCGACTCCATGTTCAGGCGAGGCGTTGAATCGTTGAACTACTCGCGAGCTTTGTCACGCTGGCTGCGGAGCAAAAACAACAAGGAGGCCGCGCAGCGCCGGTCATTCCCTCTTCAATGGGGCAGCCCCCTATCAAACCAGGTTTATTCATCCGGGGATTAGCTCTCGGATAGCCTGGCAAAAGTGCCACATTTCATTGGACAGCCCACGAGGAAAAAAACAAAAGGCCCTAAAGGCATCCGGATCAGGAAAGATTCTATGGTCCTCACTACCAGGCATAACATGTGGTTTCTTTATGGGTTACGTTTACTTGTCTTGGAATTTTGGAAGAAGGGGATCCTAGAAGATGTATCTGAGAAGAAAAAACACGCTGCGCGCGCAGGCACGGGGGGAGTTTGATTTGTCTCTCCTTCCAAACAAGGTGAAAGTTTGGCCCCAGGGAAACAAAAGGAATCCAAAGGAAACATCCGGAAGTCGAATCCGAGGAATCCGATACGAAAACAATGTCCGGGATGCGGCAGCTGGATCCAAGTCGTGCTAAGATCGGAGCGAACGACTGATCCGCACACACCGTTTTGGCCGACATTTCCTGCATGTAGCGTCGATGTCAGAGAGCCCTGAGCAGTCAACACCAACTCGATAGGCTCACAAGTACAGCCAGCTCTTTGCTAGTGAATTATATTTGCTCGTTTGGATCTTCACATATCTTCATGGGCGAAATTGAGGTCGCGGTTTTGCTTGTATAGATTGATCCCCGAAGTTCTCAGGGGTTGTCGCTTGAGTGGGGGGAATGATGAATGCAAGGGAAATGCCTCTGATTCGTATTGTGCTCCACTATGGAAAAACGAAAAAAACCTTCACTGTTGGGCCAAAAACTAGCTGATCCAGCCGGCTGCACGATTTTGCCGCTCCAGCGCCACGACACTTCCGACGATGCCGGAAGCAGATTCTGCGGGCCACGCGCCCTGCAGAAAAAAAACAAGAAAGGCGCAATAAGATGTGTAAGGCGGCACTGGGCAAATTCTGCTTGCGAATGCGCCAGCTTCACAATGCTTCTGCAACATTATGCTTGCGAACGCGCCAGCTGTACAATGCCTCAAAGATCAGCTGACAGGCTTGGCCTATCCTTCAGCCGGAAACCTTCGGGGGCTCTCTGAATTCACCACTCCAAGCCTCCCCATGACCTCACTCACTGCAACTGGGGGGGGTCTTCGCACTCGCTCAGCGCCTTCTCAGCGCGAGTGCGGCGCCCAGCAGAACCAGGCCCACTGAAGGGACCAGGCCCAGCAAGGACCGCGTCCAAGACTTCGTCGGCCTGATGGATAAAAACCAGTGAGTTGAGTAAGCCGCGTGTCGGGACCAATGTGGTCAAGTCCATTGTGTTTTGGGTCCAGCAATTGTGATTTTGTCTTTGGAAGGAATGAAAATGGACCACATCCACCGATCTTAGTCCCAACATGTGAAAAGCAGCAAGAAGACGAGCTTTTTAATCAATCAGCGAACAACGTCGTTCAGTAGAGTCACCATGATTGCACAGAACTCATAAGATGTGTTTTCAATGAGCAAGAACGGTACCATCTCCCCCCTCCCCCCGAACCCTCCCCCCTGTAGCGCAGACAGGGCTCAAGGGATACTGATACATTCCCAAGCAGCGTGTACAATTCAATTGTAACAACCCCGCCCCCCCCCCCGCCCCCCACATGCACCGATCTTGGTCCGGACGCATACCTTGAGTAACAAAGGATTGACATATCTTCGTCCCCTTCCTTCGCTTGTTTGGCGGTGTTCTGGAAAGAAGAATCCATGGAAAGAGAAGTTACTGAGTGCCCCAAGTAGAAGTACCTATCACCTCGGCAATGCTCACCTTTCTGTTGGGCCGTCCGGTTATGTTTTCCCAAGATAGCTGACATCTATAGGGGTCCTAACTCTTAAGGAAAGACAGGAAAGGGATTTCCGAGATTCATGGGCTATGGGCTGGTGCTAGGGGGCATGCAGTTAGTGCTGTGTTGGGGTGCTGTTTGGGGGCTGTATGTGAGGCGCTGGTGAGATTGACGGCCGGGCGCTAGCGGGCATGCAGGTGACGGTGCGGACGCAGTTTAGCTAGATTGATGGTAGGGTGCTCCGGAACACACAGTTTGGGATACTGTTTGGGTGCCGTTGGAGGTGCTAGTGACGGCGCGGGCGCGTTTTTGCGGGATTCACGGGCATTGTCGCGAGCGGCCGTGGTATAGCGGGCTTGCGCGCCAATTGCGGCCGTCAAGAAACGACACGGATCTCCCACACGGCCGCGGCACGTCAGCTCGCTTTGAGAGAGGAGAGGCAGCCTGGGCGGAACACCTCCCTCGGACAGGTTCTACTTAGATCCAGGATCACCCCAACTAGGTCTTCCAGTAGAGAGGCTAGAATACGGGTACCCTTTGTTCTGTGGTCTTTTTTAGTGGGGAAACCCTCCCCCAAGAAGGGTAAAAGGGGCACTACTGGGGGACCTAGCCAACAATCCTTCGCCTCAGGAAGAGCTCTTCGCACCCCTCGTTCTCCGCGAAGCGCTCGATGGCTTCTACGCACGCCTGCTCCAAGCGCTCCAAGCCCCGAGCCAGCAAAAACCCACGGCTCCCGGCACGGAAAGCCCAGCTACTGTGGATGGTGGTGAAGTCCAGAAATGGCACCACGAAATGAAACCATGGTCGAAACCATACGTAACGTTGGTTAGTGTTTACCTTGGGGCAATCAACATTTCAGGGTTTCTTAGTACGGTGCAAGATTTCGTTCATCCAAATGAAACTCATATTCCAAATTGGTTTATTCACAAGTTGTCGCTGGGGAGTCTAGGCATGTTGAAAACAATGTTGACTCCAGATTCAAAAAACGGTTGTTTTGTTCATTGCGGGGGTGTTCCCCTCCAAAAGTGGTCTGAATCCCCAAAAATCCCAAAAGGCGATTCAGACCACTTGACACCCCGATGAACTTCACACACACAACTGTCAAGACAGCGATCAGCACTCGCTCCTCTTTGAATCCCCTGCAGATGTTGCTGCGTGCTCGTTTCCCAATGGTTCGTTACTTCCACTCCGCAGGGTTTGGTACCGGAAAAACTCAGATGCCCAGCGGATTTCCACGGGAAAAAAAGGTTGCATCCCTTTTTGGGTTGGTTGAGTTTAAGGAAAAAAGGAACCCTTCCCAAGAAGAAGTAACAAAACAAGGGGCGCCACGAATCCACTGGTTGCACCTGGTACCGAAAGAAGAAACAAAGAGAGAAAAAAAAACGACGCCTCGCTCCCAACGGCGTTCGGCGGTCCGCCTCGGCGCCCTTGGTCTTCAGCAGCTGCCGCTGCAGCTCCGAGGCGCGCTGCTGGTACCGCGGGTCCTCCAAGACCTGCAAGGCGAAACCCGAAGCCCAGATTGGCCCTCCTAAACTGGGCAACTGGGGGGACTGTTTTTTGTCTGGGGAACGGACCCCTCCCGCCCCCCAAAAAAAAGGAATGAAAGAACAGAAAAGCAAAGCGCTACTGGATGATCCACTGGGCTGAGGTTGGTGGCTCGGCCGCCCGTCCAAACGTGCGCTTTCCGTCGCGGTGTGGCCCAGCGCTCCGGAAAGATCCGTAACCTGGCTGCCTCAATAGACCTTCTCGCTTTCTGTTTATACTGCATGACTTTATAGGTGTCCCTGATGCAAAAATAGATGGCCCTGGTATATGGTAACCTGGTTGAACCACCAGGTAACCAGGGCCCTCTATTGTTCAATCAAGCACCAACCAAGCAAACATGTTTTAATAATGGTCAATCGGAATTGTCCATTCAATAACTTTCTGTCAAGAGTCCTCGTTCAATCGACATTGTTAAACAGCGTTCAGGGGTGGACCTAGCAGGGTTCTTCAAAATAGGTTGATTGACCCCGATTTGTGCAAGTCAAGGTGAACTAC